TTCTCTTCACACAAAGAAGGAGGGGTATTTACAGATTTTCGTGACAGTAGTGGGGTATACTGACTCACTTAACAAAATACTTCATTGTTACTTTTTTAAAAAACTTTTTTGTATGGTTTTAGGGGTAGAAGAATCTTATATATTGTGTGAAACAGTTGACGTAAATTCAGATTAGTAACAGTCACGCCCATTGCATCAGCATCGAATTGTAGTATAACTGATCTCGACATTATTGAAAATTTAATGACTTTTAAATATATATTAATTTTAAACTATCCTTATGATAAGAAGACTGATAAAATAAACTACGTTTTATGATTTTTGTATCATATGAAAATCATTGAAGTACATGACATTAAATTCATGTCAAAGCTACCCAAGCCATTAGCACTTTCAGTCCACATTCAGATTTAATCCTTTAAGAAGTTATTTCTGGTGTACATGTACTTTTAATAAAATGATGGCTGAAATGCGTCAATTACAAAAGATCGATTTCTTGTAACCCTGAGTCATTACTTTAATAACTAGTGTGTTCATTGTGTCCCCTGTGAGATAAACAGAGATTTGTGAGTACACTAGTAGACAAAATTGCTTACGCACCACTCAGTACTTTCATCTGCAAATAACCTCATTCAAACGAGTAAATCTGAACTGCCGTCTTGCCTACTGCAGTTGAATTTACCCATGCCTTTATTTTATCATACCCTCAAATGGTCTGTATGATTGCAAACTAATTTCCCGAAGCCGATTTGGGCACCATTTGTGCTCTGATATAAGGTTGGCGGTTAGCGATAGTAGTCAGAGAAGTTGCATTAGCAATGGTGACCCTGTCGAAGCAAAATGTCGAACATGTCGCCTAGTAGTCACTTACAGTGCTTTAGCATCCCTACCCGGTCCATCAGTTGCCACAGTTTTACTGTATAAGCTTGCAATAGTCGTGTGCTTTTAAAATAAATTATGTCCTCAAATATAAAATTTGTAGCCTTAGCGTTTTCGTCGATATCTTTTGAAGAAAAAAAAATTAAAAAGACATATCTTTTTTAAAAATCGTAAAATTAAAAAAAATAAACGGGTGAAAACTACAAAGCAATCATATCAATATTTTAATCGCCAATAAAAGAAATTATCATAAAATATTAAGTGTGAATATTGAAATAAAAAGATTCCACTTATTGTGTGGACATTTAGCACGATCGGAATATTATATACTTTTCTGGCGAACAATGGTGTCCAAATATTCGCCATTTCCGAGTGTCCGTGTTCTTATGCGCCTTGTTTACAGATTTGGATATAAGAATCTTTCGTTTCATGGCGTTAGATACAAGATACTTTATTTAGATTAGTAAATATATATATATATATACCTTTTCTAATTTAATCCATTGCATTTTGTTATAATTTTCAAATGGTGGGGGTCGATTGTTTCCAATTACGGCGAATTGAGTTTCTGTGTACCCTAGTGCAAGGTCGACAAGGGCATTACGTACATTCTTAAAATCAAGGCACATGTTGAATAAGGGAATTATCAGTCTGTGCTGTTACAGAAACTTCTTATCTCTCCGGATCTCAGTTATGGAAAAGGAGTTGAATATCCGCTAATTTTTCTTCGAGAAGTTCTACAGTTACATGTATCTTGGATGTCAAATCGCTAACAAGTACCACAGCTACTTGGGTCTTGGTTTATAAATATGTATGTGCCCTATTGATATGTAAAAAAAGTACTTTTTTACATATCAATAGGGCAAATACATATTTATAAACCAAGACCCAAGTACCTGTGACAAGTACAAAACAGCAGTGGAGATTGGAAAAAAAAATCACGAAGTCATTTTTTAATTATATACTCTCAATTATTTTTTAAAAATAAAATTATCAACCAATATAACAGCGACATGATTTTTTTTTTTAACTAGAGTGTACAACGTTATACAAAGCAACATTTCACGCGGTACATGAAAGCGTTTGACGCGTGACCAGGTTATTGTTTTCAAAACATGCAAACTCAGATTATCAGGTAGTCCACGTAGCTGGCCCGTCAATCAATTCAGAAGCTATTGTTTTTTTTTAATGATTGACAGGCGGTATACTATTGATCTTGAATTAGGTAGATTTTGGGGGCGTTAACATAAAATTGGGTGTTTAATCTAGTCAAAGTACTTTTCAATCAATAAAAATAATTTTTGAATTGTTTACTTTGAAACAACTCAATGTATGGAGATGATAATCAAAGAAAACCTCTCTTTAAAAAAACACACTACATTAAAAAGCTCTTTCATAATACTAATAAAATTTGGATTCGGTGCCATGGAGTCTGTGCTCTGAGAACGTTGGTTAAGTAGTTATGACGTCGACTTTCATACATCAAGAGTCTAGAGTTTTACAAAAGTTTACTTTTTAAAATAAAAATTTAGAGATTCACAAAGTAATCTTTGTTGTGTCATATAGTTGCAATTTATTATTTTTCCCCTGTAAAACATGCAAGATATTCACGCCTCGTAAGTGACCAGTGGTCAGGATCATGATCTGCTCTCTGGCCATTCGCAAAGTATTTTTACAACCCCAGTATTCCACAACTGTGGGTCCACACATTAATTTTACCATTCACAAATTACAGTGTTTTGGCCCCTAAAATTATCAGAAACTACAGCCCAGACAGGTATTGTAACTTCAAACCACCACCTTCCAATTGAGACTGGTAGGTGGTCAAATATTCCATTTGACGAATGTAATTCAGGTAAAATAGCAGACGAATTCCATTTCATTTTAGAATGTAAAACATTGAGTAGTATTGGGAAGAACCTTTTAAGACCGCGGAACATTAACTGGCAAAATTGGAAATATACAACTTACGTCATTTTCATCTGTTACAGTCCAAACATTTAATGATAGACAATGAAATGGGCGGGTACAATTCGGCACGGACGTCTGCGAAAACATTGGATTGAAATTGCAATTCGAAATTCATTTTCAATCCACCTCAACTACGCTAGAACGCACGGTGTTACTGATTGACACAGAAGACAAATAATTTGAAATATATATATAAATCAAAATTTTCTATCCCGTGTTTTTAAAGAAATATAAAGGGGCAGATATTTGATTTCTGTTTGGTATGTGTGTGTTGGGTGGTTCGGGGGTTGGAAGGGGGGGGGGGCTGAACGATCTTGGAAATGAATAAGAACGTTTTATTTTAGTTTGGACAACCCCTCCCTGTTTTTGTTTGTCAAACATTTTTCAGAGAAGAAAAAACTAAAAAATAAAAACTCTTGTCATCCTAGAAATTAATATATTCTTCATGTGAAGGCATGATCTGACTCGACAATTTTTGACACCCCCCTTTCTAGAATCAAATAACCGTCCTCTGAAAAAATAATCTCTGTATTCTAGGACTTTGACGTGTCCTTAAAATTATACGCTAAAAAACTATAAATATGAATTTCAAACAATATGTATTTGGGAATTGAATTTATTTGTCTTTTGAATCATACATTCACACATAAGGTTTGAAAACAGCTCAGATGGATTAAAATTGAATTTCAAATTTTTTTCAGTGAAGAAGAAAATAAATAATGTCTTTTGTCATCCTACAAATATTTAATATATTCTTTCATGTGAGACATAACGATAAATAATCTGATTCGACAAAATTTGCCACCCACCCCCCCCCCCCCCAACTTCTAGAATCAATGGTCTTCCCCTAAAAGAATATATACATATAGCTACATCTTCTTTAACTTTTGTTTGTCCTCAAAATAGAAAATTGTTATACATTAATTTCAAACTATACGCATTTGGGAACTGAAATTATTTGTCGTTTCGATCATACATTATAACTTTGCGAAAAATAGCTCAGGTGGATTAAAAATGAATTTCGAATTGCAATTTCAATCCAGTGTTTTCGCAGACGTCCGTGTCAAATTGTACCCGCCCATTTCATTGTATATCATCAAGTGTTTTGACTGCGACAAATTGAAATGACGTAAGCTGCATATTTCCAATTTGCCAGTTAATGTTCCGCGGTCCCAGATTTTGTAAAAACGGCAAATACACTTAAGTTAACTGACATCTTTAAAAAATTCTTCGTATAGATAAACGATGCAGTATGTCCTGAATAATTTATACATGCTCTCCTTTCTTTCCTTTTTGTTTTCATTGTGTGTTTGTTGCTATATATTTAGTACACTTGTATATGTCTCTCATTTATGTTATGTATCATATATTTTTTCTTTCACAATTGAACTATGATATGGCATGTCATCCGTTGCAATATTCGATCTTTTTCCATTTGTATTTTATAACTTTCCATTTATATTCTATAATTTTCCACTTGCATTGTATGTTTATTTGTATTCTATAATTTTCCATTTTCATTGTAAAATTTTTATTTGTATAATTTTCCACTTCTATTCTATAATTTTTCATTTGTATTGTATAATTTTTCATTTGTATTGTATAATTTTTATTTGTATTGTATAATTTTCCATTTGTAGTCTATAATTTTTCATTTGTATCATAAAATTGATAGAATACAAACGGAAATTTATAGAAAACTCATATATATATATATATATATATATATATATATATATATATATATATATATATATATATATATATATATATATATACATATATACGGTAAATAGTAAACAATTCAGGCCAAGGTACATGCAAAATGTAATGCATGTGTGTAATATTCACGATCATTTATAAAAATAAATAAATGATTAAAACAAATACCATCGGCATGTCATTAGCATGATACAATTGATTTAACGCATGTTTGTGCAGTTGACTTATTTTTTATCTTAACTAAATACATTTCACAGTTTGAGTAATCTCTTTTCGCCTGCCATTATTATTAAAATATGTATACTAGCTTTGAGACGGGTATTTAAATTTATGACACAATTCTGATTAAAAAAATGCTTTCGTGGAATTTCTTTCACTGTCCTTTTACGTCACTTATCTTCTCGGCTTATAACATGTATAATGTCCTTAAACATGCCTGTCTTCCGTTCATTTATGTAGGGTGAAAGACTGCTCATCAGAGCAAATAATTTTGGGGATTGCCATCATTGTGACAATACGAGGAATGAGACTTTTTTTTGTAGGGGAAGGTCTCGTTATGCTCCGACAGCTCTACGTCTATAAATGTAATAGTAATATTACGAAGGACCAGAATTGAATCATGGCGTCTTGCGTTCCGGACACGATGGAGTGCAGCAAGCATGCAGGGGAACAAATACAGCGAATGTGTGCCAACTGCAATGTGTATGTGTGTCTCGAATGTGTTTCTCAGAGCCATGCTGGACATGTGTTTAAAAAATTTCGAGATATAATGGAAGAAAAGAAAAAAGAGCTGGAACACATTGTGAAGCTGGCTAAAAAAGAGACTATAGAAGATCTTGAGAAAAAAACAGAGAGAGCTCAAAAACAAAAAGAATCGTTCTGTGAAGAAACCCAAATTAGGATCGATCTTGTCGAGAAAAGGGCCAATGCTCTAAAAACTGCAGTAGATGCTGCTAAGGACGAATACTTAAAAGATCTCAAGAAAACGATGGACGACCATGTGAAGGAATACGACGAAGCCGTGGAGAAATTAAAAGCAGCAATAAGGTCAGTCAGATGTCTGGTTGAGGGCTATGACCTTGTTCTAAACTCTGAAAACCAAAGCTCTGTCATCGATTGTTCTCGTAATGCAGAACATGAAATTGAGAAGTCCATTCCAACTGTATCAATTCCAAACTACAGACATCACAACTTTGTTTTTCCTGATATTGGCAATGAAATCAAGAAGGTATTTGCACAGATCGAAGATGAGGATTCTTTGGGATCAGATTATGTGGAATTTGGGGGAAGCAGCGAAGACAGCGATCACTATGAGTTAAAATCTACCCTAACCAGGCAACGCAGATCACCAATCAGAGTCAAGAGATGTAAAGAGAGGGCACAGAACAGGAAAACTAACCGAATCTTTCTGAGTGCAGACATTCGAACACCCGCTAGAATGAAAGTCGGAAGTGACGACCAAAATGTTTCGTCGATATTTGCGATCAATTCAGGTGAGGCCTGGATGAACATCACTGATGGAAAACATTCTTGTGAAGTACAACGAATTCAAAAACATGGGCAGATTTGTGACAGGATTACCAGAGAGGCAGAAAACTTCTCCCTAGGGCAAATGGACAATTTTTATACAACGGAGAAAAAGGGATCTCAAATATTTGAATACAACCTTTGTGATAAAACATTTAGCACAACTGCAAACCTGGCCCCTTACATTGTGAAGGGAATAAAAGTCATGGCGTCTGGTGACCTTGCGGTATGTGTCCTTGACAAAGATAATTTCACAGTGTCCAAACAGTCTAAGCGGACAATTCGTATTTTGAATCCGATAGGGACTTTCATTGAAGACATTGAATTTGTTGGAAATACCAATAACAAACTATTTGTACACCCACATCGAGTGGAGGAAAGGATAGACGATTTCTGTGTCGTAGACCGACTGTCAGAAAATGAGGGTCGTCTGATTGTTGTCTCAAAATCAAGCAAAGTCCGATTTACCTACAATGGCGCTGAGAAAGGCAATAAACATCGTTTTGATCCACGAGACGTTGTCATTGCCACAGACACGTCAATCTACATCGCCGACAGAAATTTTGGAATCCACCACTTGACACCCATTGGTCAGTTTGCTCGTTATTTGACAACTTTTGAAGATGGTATCTACCGCCCTCTAGCGATTACAATTGATGATGAACAGACTGCCTGGATTGGTTGCGAGAAGGGGATTGTTCAGAGAGTTAAAATAACGTTTCATGACGTTTTTATTGAAGGACTGGGCAGCCAAGTGTCCCACGTGTAGTGAATATAGCCGCTGTCATGACTAACGAGATCAAATTTGCTATTTTTTGTAATGCTTATTAATATTGCTTCATGCGCGGATCCAGGAATTTTTCCAGGGTGTAGGGGACCATCCCTGCCCTCTACTAGATCCGCCAGGTGCTTGTTGGTATCTTTCTGTCCTGAGAATAAAAAGTGTTGAATTCGATTGTGTACGTTGTCATGAAATAACAAGCATTCTGAGAGTATTGCATTAGCAATACTAGTCCCCTACCGGCAAGTGTAATCTGGTTCCGTTCCCGTTAAGAATTGAAAATGCCATAATTCCGTCAAAAATTAATGAAGCGGGACGAAATGCAAACTTGATCTGTAACTAATCAAGGTAAAGCCACATACCAAAAATCAGCTCAATATCTACAAGCTTTTAGAAGAAAATTGCGGAAAACCCGAAAAAATTGAAAAGGCCGTAATTCCGTCAAAAATCAATGAAGCGGAACGAAATGCAAACTTGATCTGTAACTCATCAAGATACACTCACATACCAAAAATCAGCTCAATATCTGCAAGCGTTTAGGAAAAAAGTGCGGAAAACCAAGTGGGACAGACTGACAGACAGAGGGACAGACAGACAGACGGACAGACAGACAGACGGACGGACAGACTCAGAGGAAACCTATAGTCCCCTCCGGTTTCACCGGTAGGGGACTAATAAATGGAAAAGGAGGAGGATTGACAGTCATAAAGATTCCAAACTGTGGAAAGAACTGATAGTTGGGGGGGGGGGGGCTTTCTTTTGTTTTTTGTTTGTTTCTTGTGATATGTTCAGGGTTTTTTCTTCTTTTTTGATAAATTGTTTACACATAAAATTAACAGATATTGTGAAAAACCATGAAAGTTTAATCCCGATAATGTCGTTAATTATAGTTCACATCCTCTCAATTTAGTACTGGATTCATTGGGATACTCCTCATTGTATCCTATTATTTGATGCTTTTCCTAATATCAAATGAGATATTTCTGAAGAAAATAGAACAGCCTTGAATAAAAACTAGTGATTTTTTGTGAAATCCAAGCCAGATCATCAGATTGCAAGAACAAATATAAAATATATATGTAAAGTGTAATCAAATCCATTTTCTTCCTCCTTTAAAAAAAGTGTAAAATCATGTGGTGGTATTGATATCTGAAGATGTTTGAACCTTCCTTGTACATGGTCATATGAGTATACCCGGGCATGTTTCATTGATAGAAACAGCATGAAAAGGACAATCTGTGTGAGTCAGAGGTAAAATATTTCAACCTTGTACAAAAATTGTTATTAAAACAGCTTCTTCTATAGCGCTAGGAAAGCGTAAAGAGTCTAATCATTAAGATTAGGTAAGCCTCACTATCGGGAACGTAGGTCATCAAAATACACGATTTTAATTTTTTATATTTGCTGACAAACATCAGAGGGGAGAGTTTTAATTTTTAGATGTATTTATTTATTTAACAAATGATTGTTTTCATTTGATATTTTTATGGTCTTGTCAAGGTGACAATGATCGTATCTAGAAGAAAATCTATGATTTTTAACAAAAGTAATGGGAACGAAATTTTATTTAAATGACACCTGTGTGATGGACCTTTCATGGTATTTAATACAAAATCGCAAGTAATTGTCAGTTATAAAAAAAACCTTGATGACTCTATTAGATAATTCAATGAGGCATGAAGCAAAACACCCGTAAGCTATCCACAGAAAAAAAAGATAAAATGTCTTCCATTAGATACCAATAGGCAATAACCTTTTGCTACATTTACGACGAAGTTAATTCGATAACCTTAATTTTAAAAGACGTCATATGTAGACCAAATTTTATGGGTAAAACCAGTGAATGTAATGTTATCACTGATATTTACACAAATGTAAGGACATACATATTAGCTCAATAAATTTTAGAAGTGAGACCACTCCTAATTCATTAAGTGACTTCTGGATCATATTATCCAGACTCTGGAAGAAATTAAGAAGACCAGTTACTACCAATATCCCAGAAAGGCATGTAAACAGGCACTGTACACACAGACAAACCAACACAGTACTGTCACATCGAATTTCCTGAAACGCCAATAGCTAGGTAACGATAAAGACTTAGAGAAGGAATACATAAAATTACATATAGGTCATTATAAAGAAGGGGTATTCAGATAAAAAAAAAATAGATGTCATCCCCCACCCCACATCTCATTGAGGAATAAAAGGCTTGGGCTGAATTTCATATTGCTCGTTACAATATACGTTCTGATGTCAAAATTCTAAATTTGTAAAAACAATCAATACCGCACCGAGGTTTCACTGTGCTGTTTGTTTTGTTTTGTTTTGTTTTTTTAAAGGATCTTCAGTTTAAAGTGCATATATAAAGTTCTCGTTGTGTTACGATACATTTTATATGGTGTATACAACCCTTACAACAAGCATATGTTTGGTTTTATTCAATGCACCTCTTATGACGAACACTATTTTTTACAATCGCTTTCATGCATGAAACAATATTAACTAAGAGATAATTGAAAGAATCCATTAAAATTAAATTGAAGATTTTTTTCATTACTCGTGAACTACATGGGAAAAAAAGGGAGGGGGGGGGGGGGTTATGCTAATTAGGGAAAATTAATGCTTAACAGTTTGTCAGTTGCTTTGTAGTAACGTCATGTTTAGTATACATGTGTGGTCCATACATCATTTCTTAAATAGATGCATAACATCCGTTTAGTAAACAACACACTAATTTCGGATTAATTCTGAAATTCCTTTGGGGTTTCCCCCAGAACATACATTCTCTGAAAAGATAATGTGCTTCCCATTAAAGTGGATGTGATTTACCTGAATCTAGGATTTAAAATATTAATGCATGCCTTTTTCCCACAAATTCCTGATAACCTTTGCTATGCACATCGAAAAATTGTTAAACAGGCCGAAAAAAATATCTCTAACAGCGATATCAGGCTATGTACCATTTACGATTACTTATAACATGTACAAGGTATAGAAAACTCAATAAAATCTCCATATTTTTATACAGTGATTGAGCTACTTCTTCCCCCTACATGCAAGATATATCATATAAAAAAGGTGAAGAAAACGAACAGGGATCGTTCTCCAAAAATCTACAAACAATACTGTTAACAGGGCTTACAACACGGACCCCCGGAAATTCCAGAGGTGGGATCAGGTGCCTAGGACGAGTAAGCATCCACTGTCATACATACAATACAAATCTGTGAACAGGACATAAACAAGGACCCCCAGAAATTCCAGGGGTGGAATCAGGTGCCTAGGAGGAGTAAGCATGCTAGAAAAGTATGTAAACATGCATACAAAAATAATTATATCTACATGCAAGATAATCATTATATTGACATGCAAAATAATTATGTTGACATGCAATTTTACCAAACTTTTTTACAGAATCGGATTTTAATATGGGTAAATTTACTTACTAACGCCAGTATTTGACACTATACACGCAAGATGCATTGAATTAACATACAATTGAACTTCGGTATCTCGAACGCTGATATCTCGAATACCATGGATATGTCGAATAGATTTTGAAGTCCCAGCCCCTTATTTTTTTAAGTATTTTACCCTGGATATCTCGAATCCTTGGATATCTCGAAGTTTTTTTCTCGGCCACATTAACTTCGAGATAAAGACGTTTAACTAATTATGTTGACATATGACTTATTTATGTCAACATGCGATCATGTCAACATACTATATAATTATCTAGACATGCAAATTATTTATGTCTTGACAACTTGCACATCAGCATAATTATTTTGCATATATGGGCATAATTATCTTGTATGCTGACAAACTTTCCTCATATGTTGACATAAATCTTGCATGTAGGGGCAGAAATATGCCACCATACGATACAGTGTTATTCTTATCGCTGTTCTTGTTTACTAGATGGACTAAATGTAGATTATATGTGTACTTGTATAGTGTACACTAGCTTTATTACGATGTACTTCTATACTAGTTTGACTCTATATATATATGTAGATTGTATGTGTACTTGTATACTAGATTTTAGCTCACCTGAGCCGAGGGCTCAAGTGAGCTTTTCTGATCGAAGGGTGTTCAGCGTCTGTCTGTCGTCTATCGTGTGTTGTCTGTCATCTGCAAACTTTTCACATTTTCGACTTCTTCCCAAGAACCACTAAGCCAGTTTCAACAAAACTTGCCACAAATCATCCTTGGATGAAGGGGATTTATAAAGTTTATTCACAGGACGTGGCACGATCTCTTTCAATTAAGGAGAGATAATTAGGAATTCATGAAAATTTCTCGACATCTTTAAAAAATCTTCTCAGGAACCATTGGCCAGAAAAGATGAAACTTTTGTGAGAACTTCATTACATACTGAAGATTCAAATTTGTTCATATCATGACCCCCCCCCCCCCCCCCCCAGGAGTAGGGCGGGGCCACAGCATGGGAATATTTAGGAAAAATGTTTTAAAATCTTGTCAAGAACTATTAGTCATATTAAAATAGAAGCATCCTCAGATTCAAGATTGTTCAAATAATGACCCCAGGGGGATAGGGTGGGGCTACAATAGAGGATTAAAGTTATATATTAGAATATACAGGAAATATCTTTTAAAAATCTTCTCAAGAACAGCAAATCCATGATCAGTCATATTTATATGGAATAATCCTCAGGTAGTGTAGATTGAAGTTTGTTCAATTCATGGCCCCTGGGAGCAAGGTTGGGGATTAACATAGAAATATATGGGAGAAGTCTTTTAAAATCTTTTCCCGAGGAACAGCAAAGCCATGATTATTCATATATAGATGGAAGCACCTACAGGTAGCTAAATTCAAAGGGTTTTTTTTTCAAATCATGACCCCGGGAGTAGGAGGGGCCACAATGGGCAATCAAATTTTTACATAGGAATACATAGGAAAAATCTTTAAAAGTCTTCTTCTCAAGAACAGCAAATCCATGATTAGTCAAATCTATATGGAAGCATCCTCAGGTAGTTTAAAGTTTGTTCAAATCATGACCCCCTGGGGTAGAGTGGTGCCATATTTAACATATGAATATTGTAGGGAAAAGAATCTGCTGATGAAAAACAGAAGGGCCATAGTTACTCAGG